GATGGATTGACCACTAGGTCTAGATCCATTTAAAAATTAAATGTCACCTCTTCACACGTGCGCAGAGAAATGGAGATGAGGGAGAATGCTGGAAAGATGCTCTCAGTGTGACTTCGGTGATAGATTATGTGGACTCCTCTGTGTGTATAACTCAAATGGACCAGAGCCATCCATTTCCCCTATTTCTGTGCCCTAGCGTGCTGATTTGGGGGCACTGCTTGTACAACCTAGGAGTTCTGGTTGATATTATGAAGTTATTCTGAAGTTGTTATCATGAAATTGCTGCATCACGGAAAGCATTATGTATGCAACACTGTGGACAGGACCTGCAGCAGGTACACACCTGATTGAGGACAATGAGGAGTGCTTAGCTTTAATGTCTGTGCTTTGACCACACAATTATTATGCTAACGATAACTGCACACTAAGAGCAATCAGTTTTACCCTACCTCTCAAAGAGGAGCAGTGGAAAACACCGAACAAAGAAAGTCAGGCGCTGGTAGGGGATATAGAAATACATAAGGCCACACAGAAGAGCTTGGGGTGTGACACAGAATGTCTGGACAGGAGTAAGGAAGAGCATGGACCAAGGTCAGAGCGGACAAGCTGAGGGGAGAAAACTCCATGTTTCAGCATACATGTTTCAGCTCTGCAGCCAAAGGACCTGGATGACCCCAAAGGATCCTGACCCCAGTCCAAACAATGCTCTGGCATGATGGGGAAACTGAGGCAGAGAAATGTATGTAGGGTATACTATTTTGTCTGATCTGTATTCTTATTGTGATTTATCTGTTAAGCGAAAGAGCGAATAAGGTGTTAGACTCTGTGCAAATTCATCTGTGTGTTATCTGCTTCACAACTGCCATCTCATCCTCTGAGATGGTTAAACTGTAACCCAGAAGGCTCTCACCTTTGGTGGCATTCTGGAAGAGGGTGTCCTTAAGGCTACTGGGGTGTCTTGAGAGTCAGCACTGGTCCTGGGGGGCTCAAGCAAGTGGGCTGAGGAGTCCATTGCCATGAAGGGGTAGCAGACTGTAAGTCACTGCCCAGGAAATGGGCTGGAAAGGCCTAGGGAGGAAACATTGCTGCAGCCTGCTGAGAACCAAGGGAGCTTAAAACACGCAGGGACACAGCAGCTGAGTCCCCTCACAGCAGTCTAAAAGGTTAATGCAGTCCTAGGATGCATTGGACAAGGTATTTCCAGCAGAGACAGGGAAGTGTTAGTACCATCACACAAGGTACAGTACTGATGAGACCTTATCTGGAATACTGAGTGCAGTGCTGGTCTCCCATGTTTAAGAAAGATGAATTCAAACTGGAACAGGTGCAGATAAGGGCTACTAGGATGATCCAAGGAGAAGACTGACAGAGCTTGGCTTGTTTAGCCTAACCAAAAGAAGGCTGAGGGGAGATATGACTGTTCTCTGTAAAAACATCAGAGAGAGAAATACCAGGGAGGGAGAGGAGTTATTTAAGTTAAGTGCCAATATGGACACAAGAACAAATGGCTGTAAACTGGCCATCAACAAGTTTAGGCTTCAAATTAGATGTGGGTTTCTAACCATCAGAGGAGTGAAGTTCTAGAGCAGCCTTCCAAGGGCAGTAGTGGGGGCAAAAAAACTAACTGGCTTCAAGACTGAGCTTGGTAAGTTTATGGAGGGGATGGTATGATGGGACTGTCTATGATGGCATGTAGCCGATTTGCGACTGCTAGCAGCAAATATGCCCCAACAGCTTTTGATTGGACACTAGATGGGGAGGTCTCTGAGTTACTACCGCGAATTCTTTCTCACGTGTCTGCCTGGTGAGTCTTGCCCACACGCTGTGGGTCTAACTGATCGCCATTTTTGGGGTCAGGAAGGAATTTTCTCCTCAGTCAGATTGGCAGAAACCCTGGGGGATTTTTGCCTTCCTCTGCAGTGTGGGGCCCAGGTCACTTGCAGGTTTAAACTGGTGTAAATAGTGTATTCTCTGTAACTTGAAGTCTTTACATCATGATTTGAGGACTTCAGTAACTGAGGCAGAGGTTTGGGGTCTATTACACGAGTGGGAGGGTGAGGTTCTGTGGCCTGAAGTGTGCAGGAGGTCAGTCTAGATGATCATGCTGGTCCCTTCCGGCACTAGAGTCTCTGAGTCTAGTGAGTGGCCAACGGGGGCAATTCAGCTGCAACCTGTGATGCCTCGTGATGATTAATTTTGTATTTTCTCTGTCAGGGCTGCACTGAGAATCCAGCCCTGGACAGACTCCTGGGAGGGAGACAGGTACACACCCTGCATAGGCACAGCTGAGATGTGGGACAGGCACAGAGCTTGCATAGGCACAGCTGAGATGTGGGACAGGCACAGATCCTGCAAAGACACAGCTGAGATGGGAGAGGTAGGGAGTTCATCTGCATGAGTCTCCCTTCCTCCGGGCAGCTGCAGCAGCCCCTGCTGCAGGGTTTGCCTGCCGGCAGGAGGCTGGGATGACTTGGCTTCATTGTTGCACACTGTGAAATCCATGTTTTCTCACATCAGATGTTCACAGTGTTGTGGCCACTGGGTCCTTAGCACCCATTTTAGGGAGCTCCATGACCAAGGACAAGCTATACAAATGCTCAGTCCAGCTGAAAGCCCACCCCATCTCACCCTGTCTGGCCAGGCCTGTTTGGAGTGAGAGCCTGACCCCCATCATTAGTGTGCCTCTGCCATTAGTCTGGGGGGAACGTGCTGCCTTCCCTGAATACTGATTAGTTCTGAGTCCTATAAAGCAGCCAGTGTTCATCTCCCCCAGCTCTGAGAAACGTAGCCTGCGTACATAAACAAATGGGAGGTGCGTATTACTTGCTGTCCAAGCTCATTATTTTCTTACAAGATGTCAGGAGCCCCCACTGAAAAGGGCTGAATGGCCGATGAAAATGATTTCTACATAGATCTACAGTGAAGCTTGAGAACAGGATGTGCAGTTTGACTTTAATCAGGGCAGGAGGCACAGGTGACGCGTGGGAATTCTGAAAAAGAAAATTGTCTCATTAAGGGCCGCTACAGATCTTCACAAAACAGGAAATGACAGAACTTGCTTTTCCCCCTGTGCACAGGACTCCAGAGAATATTTTAAATTCCTGTTTGCTTCTTTCAGGTTCCTGGGCATCTGTAGAGACACATCAGAGGTGGGGAGGAATCTAGTATTCATATTTGTGTTTATTTAAAGCTATCGGGGTGGGGGGAGGGGGCTGGGTTGTCACGGAGAGACAAAGCAGACAGGTTGTATACTCAAAAGAAATGCAATAATAGCAGCTTCACACCCTTCTCCTATCTCAGCTTGTTAATAATTTCTCAGAGAAGGAAAGAATGTTAAAATGAGAAGTCTGATTGCAAGATCTAGCTATGGAACAATCCTGAGCAAAGCATTCACTGCTGCCTGCCGGCAGAACCGCCGGGGCCACAAATGGAAATCAGTAACTCATATATAGCTAAGTTAGAGCAGATTGGGACATCTGTGTCAGAAAATGCTGATTCATCAAACCTGAAACTACTTGGGTGAAGGGCCAGTCTGATGAATTTCTTGTTTTAATATTTTTTGAAAATGACATTTTGAAATGGTCAAATGTTGCATTTCCACATTTTTAAATGAAAAACTCTGTTTTTCCCTCTATTGTCTCCATGGCATCCCATGTCACCACAGTCAGACTAGGCCCATACACAACCAATCCAGCCAACCCACAGCCAGCTGAGACAGAAGGGTGCACTTAGAATGGGTGGTGGCTGCTGTATCTCACACACTGCTAGATGATAACTGGAAGTAAACAGGAAGCTTTTTAACGGTACAAGTTAGGAGGCTTAATCCCACCAGAAACTGGTGGGTATGTGCACAACTGGACCAGGATGTAGGTAGACAGGCCTAGTGGTCAGAGCAGGCATAGAGTCTAGTGGGTGGAGCAGGCATCGAGCTTAGGGAATGAAGCTGAAGATCAGCACGAAAGTCACCTGCCAGTTACCAGAGCCAGGGGTCAAGCCAGAGTCACAACCAAGAATCGCAGCTGAGGGTCAGAGCCTGGGTCAGGTACCAAATGCCAGAGCCAAAGTTCAAGCAAGAGTCAGGGTCAGAAGTTGGAGGCTGGAGTCAGAGCTGAGGATCAGCTGGTCACTGAGGATTGGAGGTGAGGCATAATGGTAGGAGGAGAGGCAAGATTCAAGCACAGCAAGGAGCAAGGTGGGAACAGGAGCGAAGGCAGGCATGAGGCAGGAATCAGGAACAGGGCTGGGTGCAGGAGGCAGGCATAAGCAGGGTCCAATGCAGCCACAACAGGAAATCACCTTGTTACTTGGACAAACTTTCTGTTCCTTCTTCTGGCTTAAATAGCATGGTTGGACCAATCGGTGAAGCCGGGCGATCCTCCAATCAGAGCTCCCATGGGTGGCACTTTGGCTGGGGCTACAGTCCTAGTAGCTTCTCAGCCCACTGCATTTAAGTAGCCATTGGATGGAGGCCAGGATGTGGCAGCTATCTAGGGGCTCACAGGCCAGGGCTCAAGACCTGGGACATCACAGTACGTACTTGGCATGGTTAAGCCATGCCTCTGCTGCTGCCGCCATCTGCGCACAGAGCAGATAAAGCATGGGCAGATGCAGCACAAACTTCCCGCAAAGGAATCCCCACAGATGTGCCTCTGGCCTGGAGAGGCTACTCCATGACAGCAAAGGGACTTGAACCTTCATGCCCATTTCACTGTTAGCCTTGCTACTGAAACTGCCAACACTGCAAGCTGAAGGTGTGGCTGATAGCATGTGGGCATCATGTTCCCACAGGCCACCCCTCATCTGCCATCTGATGGAAATTTGCAGTGCTGTAGCCATAGTTCGAAAGCTTGTCTCTCTCACCAACAGAAGTTGGTCCAATAAAAGCTATTACCTCGCCCACCTTGTCTCTCTATTCAATGGAATTCACTTCCAGTGTTCCTATTTATTAGGTCAATTTTGTAACAATTGACTCAGAGGTGTTATTTTTAAAGTTACCTTACCTGAAGGATAACCCAGTGACCCTCCTTTGCAGCCATGTCTAGAGCTTGCTCTGCTACTACCTCTTGACCTTGTCCAAGGGAAACATTGTGGAAATTCTTGTTGTTAAATGTGTAACCAAGTTTCTTCCCTATAAGGAGAAAGGAAAACTTTCAGCACTCTTTACCAGAACAGCTCATGCAGCATTGCTGATCTCAAACAGTAATAACAAGGCAGAGCTCATGCTTATCAAAACTCCTTCACAAAACAGCTACCACATTTCTTATAATTATTATCTTATTTCTAACACACTCTTTGCCTAGGCATTGAAAACAGCATTGGCTGCTTCCTAATTATTTCCAATTGCAGCACGACATCAATACAGAGGTACAGGGCCACAAAGTGCCTTTGTTTAAAGAACATTATTCCCCCATAACCTTGTGTGGAGATGCATTTTTAAATTATATGAAATTAAAGTAATTTCCAGCTGATTAAACAGGCTTTAAACCAGATGTCATTCAGTGGTGAAATTTATCCTGCCAATCCACACCATAGTTAGCAAGGTATTTAGAAATATATTCACTCTGGAAAAGGAAACTGGGATGCCTTTAAATATTGGAAATGGTTGGTTGAAATCTGTTCTGATGCCTTGTGCCCTTAGGTCATTTCCTTCTCTAGTTCCCTCATAACAGCCAGTCCTTCCGGGGCAGTGCTCAGGAGGAAGGACTCCTGCTCTCTACTGGCTGTGTCCTGTACCACTCCCCCATCTCAAGAGGATAGAAATATATTTCCTAAAGGAGCGCTAGCCACTAAATCCCACAGCAGTTTGCGTTCAATACCAATATGGCTTAGATCAAACCAAAGAACTAACTACTAGCAATTACAGAAGAGAAAACAGAATGCATCACAGTGGACTCCCGACATGGAGGAGACATAACATCCCTTCGAACTCCACTACCCTCACACTGAAGAATCGTATTGTTTGCTTTGTCCCTCACATGGTAGAAATCCCATTAGGCTTCCCAGCAGCCAAAGCTGGGTCTCTGTTTCTACCCAAACTGTCAGAGCTGGCTGTGGGAGTGATTCTCGCTGACTGTGGTGCAAAGTTTACAACATCTGTGACAGAGATGGCAATTTCCTGCAGTATCTTTGGGAGAGCTCACTGTGTTAAGTTTATGTATCATTATGGGTCAAGGATTGTATGTAATCCCATGGAGGAGGGTGACCTCAGCTCCTCCAGGAACTAAGCATCATGGGAGGTGATTAGGCAGATTCACACACCTCCATAGAAGTACCCCCACATGGAAAGGTTCACATGTACTAGTTCAAACTGTATTCTCTGGAGACCAACAAACAAAGAAAGGACTTTTGGATAAATAGCCTGAATTTAAACTAACTCAGGGCCTGCTTTCAGATCCAGCAAATGGACAGGACCTTCTGTCCAAGGGCGGGTCTTCCCGGGAAGGGTTGGAAGGACTTTAGCTTATTGAATCCCCATAAGACTGATGAGTGTCCTCTGGCAAGCTTTTAGTATGTGTATAGGGACTTTTATTGTGTTTTATATATTTTCTCTGTAATGCTTTTGCCTCAAGAATAAATGTGCTTGCTTACAAAGGGCTGTATGGGAACCTGTAACTGCTGCCAATTACAGCTGTTCATAGCCATCGGGGAGAGAAGAGCACACATACTGGCCTGGTTAGACAGTCTGGCTTGCTGGAGATATCACAATGCAGGCCTGGAACTGTGCAGCCTGGAAAACCCCCTGTCAGGAAGGAGAGAGATGGGTCTCCATCCACAAGAGGGGATGGCTGGGGATGGGAGCCTGAAAGAGGTGCCCTTGGTGGATCACAGGTGCAGTTGCCCTGAACTGTGACTTGTCCACTAGCTTTTGGATTACCATATGATAGCAATAATTTATAACTAAGGCCTTGCAGGGTGTGGTTATTTCAGGCCCTGATGGGGCCTGTGGTAATTTCTGTAGGCTGGGGAGCTACAGAGAGGAAGGCTGGTCTAATGGTTAGCATGCTAGCCTATGACTGTGCGACTTGGGTTCAAGTTCCTGATCTGCCATAGGCTTTCTGTGTGACCTGGGGGAAATCTCCTATGTCCCACATAGACAGGAGCGCCATGGGAGTGAGGCACCTAGGAACTGTTAGAAATCTCACAAGGCATCAATCTGCATTTTTAGGCACCAAAACCATGTTACAGATCATAGAATCTCAGGAGGTCATCTAGTCCAACCCCCTACTCAAAGCAGAACCAATCCCCAGACAGATTTTTGCCCCAGATCCCTAAATAGCCCCCTCAAGGACTGAACTCACAACCCTGGGTTTAGCAGGCCAATGCTCAAACCACTGTGCTATCCCTCCCCTCTGGAATGCATTTTAGAGAGACTGAGGGCCAGATTTTTAACAGCTCTGCCCTACCCCACAGGGACCCTTAGGATTGTGAGGTGCTGTGGTAAGGGGGACCCAAGGAATCCACTCGGCAGATCATCCTGCACAGCACACAAGCCATCAGGAAGGCATTCAGTTACCTTCATATTTGTCCAGGAACCCTTGTTACTTCTAAAACATGCACACATGGAGCCCTAGTGGCTGGTGGTGTGGAAAGGCAGCACCTTGGGGGAGCTTCTGGCGGCTCTGTGCCAGGCCCGTCCACTGTAGATAGGAGGCAACATGTGCTCTTACCCCAACAGGGTCAGCTCTGATCGAGGGAGAACCGCCAGTCCATGGTGCCGACCCTGGGGAATCTAGTGGCAGTGGGACTAAGTCTACATCCTCCCTGAGTGCATAGACTGCAGCTATGCAGGGCTACAAGGTGCCAGGACCCCTCTCAAAGCTGGGCACAGTTGAACCCATGTTCTGCTGGCGATTGGTGAGTTCAGACTGCTATATTGTTAAAGCAATTCTGTTCCCTTTCCAGTGGACCTGGACCTGGGAGTGGGGCTGGATCACTATGGTCAAGAGGTTGGCAAATGGCTTCATTCTGCAACTGAAAAACATTGACAGCAGGAGCCGAACATCCATATAACCAGACTGAACCAAGATAACACTGCAGCAGAGTTGGGCATGCTCTGTTTACAACAAACTCTCCAAACTCCTAAGGCCTGCACTGATGGAGGAGGAAAAACAGAACCAAATCACTGATATGCCAGGGCTGTTGCAGCCCAGGAAGATGTACAAAACAGAAAATATTCTTATAATATTGTTATGCTGGGATTGGGTAATGACACCAACTTGCTGAAAGTATTGGGCATGACACCCACCTTCCATTCAGCCTAACGAGGGAACAATCAAATGCCCCTTTGTTCAGTGCTAGTTGAAACAATGGAAAACCATCACCCAAGGACTCAACCACATGCAGGCCGGGGCAATGGGTAGGAGTTTCCTGGGGCGGGGGGTAACAAACACAGGCGTGTGAGGATTGATTTGACTGCAGTTGTGTGAGAGAGCACAAGCAGACAGAGGCAGATAGCAGAAAAGCCAAAGAAAGTGGGAAGAAAAGTACTTGCAATGTTGTCCTGAGAGAAAGCAAAGAGAGAGAGCTTTTTGGGCAGAGTCCTGGCTGGAGGGGTTTGGAATTGTGAACAAAGAAACTGCCTCCTGTTGTTTGATTGCTACTGTGTCCAGGGAAGCAGGACTCTGTGTATATTCTTTATAAACAAACAGGACTGCTTCAAAGAAATACCAGAGTCCATCATCAACTTCTCCTCCTAATGGAAACAACCCACCAGACCCCGAATATTGGCTAAGTGCTTGGGTCAAAAGGGGTAGCACTATAATCTTCACCCTCTGGGCAGACTTTAAAATGTGCTTGCTAGGACATATCTGAAACATGAGGATGTGTAAATGGACATTTGCACATGTAAATCAGACAACTGTGAACATAAGTACCTATTTGCATATACACTTTCCTGTTTTGCATATGAAAATTTTGGCACCATTATTTAATAATGTGACATTAAGCCTGGCATTTTCAAAGGGTCCTTGGGGAGGTGCCCAACTCCCATTGAGTGCCCATGTCCAACTCCTCTTCATTTTAATGACACATTTCTTTGAACTTTTTTTGTTTTTTGAAGGAAAAAAAATATGGAAACTAGAAAACCGCAAGTTTTTGGCAATCAAGATTTCAACAAGCATGAAATGTTTCTTGTGAAAAGCTCAGTTTCATTGAAAGCCACTTATTGTCCAAAAAATGTTTGGAAGAAAATTTTCAACCAGCTCTCTCCAAAATGTTATACTTGTAAACCAGGGTCTGAAGGAGCTCTCACCTGGCATCCAATGATGAACTGGGGGGAAAAGATATCAGGCACAGACCATATTTGCATAGACACACCTACTCTGCCTAGATGATCAGCAGACAGATCTGCTTTGCCAAAGTGATCAATTTTTGCTGTTTTGGGTTAAAATTCACTTGAGGCTTGGATGCCAGGGTAATGAAATATTATACTTATTACACGACTAAAGGGCAGCAGAACTGTATTTAATATGCACTGAGGAGTCGCCATAATGTAAACCTCACTAGTTAAGCAGGTGCTAGTAAAGCCAAATGCAAGTGAAAGGTGAAGGAAAAGGTTGAGGACAGATGTCCGTACTTGGTGGTGTAGATGTCTCTGTCTGAAGGGTCTTGTATGTGATTTGATCTCCACCCCCTCAAGTTTTTAAAACGGGGCTGACTGGACACAGCTGAATCCTTGATCCTTCTCAGTGATCACTAGAACTGAAATCACCGATGAACAGGTCTAAGGAGCTGAACCATAGACTTGGTGTAGTGACAATATTGCAGTGAAAGACAACACAAAAGATGCAGCAGCAGTGTAGTTCCCCAGTACCTGGAGTAATCACTGAAAGCTGAACTCACCAAGGACTGAGTTAACTACTGCAAACTCAGAACATGGCTTCACAGCTAAAGGTGGCAACAGCAGAGGCAACCCTGGTGATACTGGCAACAAAAAGCAGTGACAGCGACAAGGTAGGAGGCATCACTCAAACCCTCCATCCCCCTCAGGGGCTGAACCCACCCAAACGCATTCCGGGAATTTACTGACCTCAGATATCAAACGTGAATGGGATGTAGCAGAGGGAAAAGAAGAGGGGCATGTTAAAGGGACATTCGTCTGTTGGACTTTCAAATCACAAGGTGGGAAACTGAGGCAAAGGACATGGCCCAAGATACTGTGGCACAGGTGTTTTACTTTGCATACTTTTGAATCGTGGCAGCGTTTCCCCAAATTATTGCTGTATTCCCTCTTCTCTTAATAAAAGTTGTGGGGGAGGGGTTGTTATACACAGACTCAGTGCTTACCAGTAAGGAAGTATTGCCTCTTAGAGGCCCAGGGTGGTGTGTAGTTTCCCCACATATTTGTGTGGAAGCTCAAGCTGGTTCTGTTTTGTAATTTTAAGAACACCCCTAGGTACGGAACCCAGACTTTGTTGTGCCAACACCACCCGGCAGAAGGGTTACATACGAATATCTCAGAGACAATCTCTGCTTTAAAGACTCTCAGTCTGAGCAGGCAACAAAGGCACAGCTGCAGATGTAGCTAAAGCAGGTACTGGTGCACTGGGGGGGAAGGAAGGTAAAACTTGGCCCTATTGGGGCCATCCCTCCTTCCAGCACCAGCTGGACCTAGAGTTGTGTAGGGACATCTCCCTCCCCCACCACGTGGCCTTGGAGAAAAAAACAACAACAACAGAAGAGCCAGATAGAGACTGGAGCAGGCAGGGCTGCTGCAGAAACAGCTGAAGACAGGCCCAATTTTTAACAGATTTGATTAGCTTTTCTCTGTCCAGTGCTGATTGGCTGTTTGCGCCAATCGTCCCTCACAGTTTCTTCACATCAGCCTCCCGCCACACCTGGCCCTCTTACCCTCTGCTCCCCACCCATCCCCTTCCCTTGGATGTCCCAGTGCCCTTTCAAGTCAGCTCAGCTGGTGTAAACACATACACACACACACACGAAAAAAAATCATGGCACCAACATGACGTTTGCCACCATCACATCATTCGCTCTGCTGGTGAGTGCTACCTCATCACCCACTCTGTGTCCATCTGGTCTATGGAGACAGTCGGCTGTGGGGCAAGGACCATCTACTGCTTTGTGTCTATGTCGCTGTAGCACAATGGGGCCGTGTTCTCCGCTGGTCCTTTGGTGCTACCACAATAAATAGGATTAATAATCATAAGTAACATCATTACCTCCACTTTACAGGTGGGGAGCTCAGGCACAGACAACCTGGGCAATTTGCCCAGCATCACTCACGGAGTCTGCAGTAGAGAAAGGAACTGAGCCCCACCTCCTGAGCCACAGGCCAGTCCCATAACCACAATGCCAGCCTTCCTTTCCAGCAGGCTTTAGAATCTTCCAGCTCAGACAGAAGAGGAGAATGTGCACTCGGGATCCTCTGGCTAGGGAACTGGGAAAGCATCTAGACTTAGAGTTAGAAACTTGTTTCAGTGTCTGAATAGAGAGTGGTGGGTCTAGGACAGGACTCAGGAAAGGAGGGCACCTGGAAGGAGCTCTCTTCCATTTGCAAATATCTAGCCTGAATTTCAGAGAGACTTTAGTCTGCAGTAAAAGCTCATGGAGGACACACAAAATATTGAATAGAGAGATTGAACCAAAGTCCCAGTGGGCCAGGTTCAAGACTGGTGTAACTGCATGGAAATAATGGCTTTGTTTTGTTTCATTTTTTCCATGCATAAACTTTGATGGCTGACGAAAGCCAGGTTCTCAATTACATGAGTCCTTTGCAATTCCAATTAAACCACTCATGTCGTAGGTCACAGTGCCTGACTCCCAGTGCAAGAACAGAACATAATGAAGACAATTTCACCTGCAGAACTATAAAAGTACAGCAGCAATTTCTCATTTTCCAGCTACTGCCTTATCTTTTGAGGAAAATCACCTAAAGGACAGGGCTCTCTTTGGGGTTCTGGCAAGCTCCACTTTCATGTAATTCAGTATTAATGGGACTTGATGACAGGAAAGGAATGGAATAAAATGTACAGAAATCTGTAGGGCATGTAAGCGCAGACTCCTGGTCGCCATGCAATACACCACAGATAGGTCTACACTTCGAGGTAGAAATTACATCCCCAGCTCCAAGAGACATACCCATGCTAGCTCTGATTGGGCTAGTGTGCTAAAAATAGAAGTGATACCATTGAGGCATGAGCAGAATGAGCAGTGGTTGCAGCACCATGGCTACACCTCTATTCTTAGCACACAAGCTCTGATGGAGGTAGTATGGGTATGTCTCCTGGAGCAGGGAATCACACCCCCAGCTCGAAGTGCAGACATGCCCAGAGGGCCCTTTCCTCTTCCAGTGCAATGAGAGCAGAGGCCCATCATGTGCCTCGTGCTGCATTCCAGGCAGCCATTTTCTTTCTGCATCTTATTAACATTCTTGACAGACATTTATTTGATTTTAGTGCTGGTGAGAGGGGCTGGGCAGACAGCCCTGGAAACTAAACTCTCTCTCTTCATACACAAAAAAGGTGCATCGCAGACAGAAGCAGAGGGAGCCTACTCCCTGCACACGAGTCTTAGCTCTGGCACTAAGGGACCACCTCTAGGGAGGTAGGCTAGTTCAATTTCACTGTCTTTGTGGTGCCTGGATTTTCTGCTGAGGCTACCAGCTGTGTTGGTGTTTGGTGTGGACAGTGACCCACTAAGGATGGAATGGAAACACATTGGCTTTGAGCATACAGACCACTGAATAACTGATGGGTTTTCTAAATATTCCACCTCCCACTCCTAGGAGCCAAAGCCCCCCTGAACTGGTGAGGCCTGAAGTCAGGGTTAGAGAAGGGGAAAGCATATTGGATGAACATGACTGGGCTCCTGAGAAGAGCTGGAGCAGTGGCCTATGAACAAAGGATGTAGCCATACTTACAGGACGGGGGGACTCTATCCTGGGAAGCAGTGAATCTGAAAGAGATTTGGGTTCATGGTGGATAATCAGCTGAACATGAGCTTCCATGTGATGCTGTGGCCAAAAGGGCTAATGTGATCCTGGGATGCATAAACAGAGGAACCACAAGTATGAGCAGAGAGGTTCTTTTAGCTCTGTATTTGGCACTGGTGTGACCACTGCTGGAATCCTGTGTCCTGTTCAACTGCCCACGATTCAGAATGTCGATAAATCGGAGAGGGTTCAGAGATGAGCCACGAGAATGATTAAAGGATTAGAAAACCTGCCTTATCGTGACAGACTCAAAGAACTCAATCTATTTTGCTTAACAAAGAGAAGGTTAAGGGATGACTTGATCACAGACTATAATTATTTACATGGGGAACAAGTAATTAACCATTGGAACAATTCACCAAGGGTTGTGGTAAATTCCCCATCACTGACCATTTTAAAATCAAGATTGGACGTTTTTCTAAAATCTCTGCTCTAGGAATTTTTTCGGGGCCGGTCTCTGGCCTGTGTTATACAGGAGGTCAGACTAGATGATCACAGTGGTCCCTTCTGGCCTTGGAATCTATGGATCTGTGAGATGCAGTGTGACAAAAGGAGCCTCTTTGCCAACGGCAGTCAAGAAGGGACTGGCTACAATGATCTGGGGATGCCAGGAAAGGTACTGCAGAGAGCTGGGCTCAGGCTCTACCTCATTATCACTACCTTCAAGGGGAAAGAAACCGTAAGGGTTAGGGTGTTCCTGAAGCTCACACTATGGAGCTTAGCCCTTGAATGAGAATCCTGCATAGCTAGCAGCTTTGATAGAACATGTATTGACAACAGCAGTTCAGTAAGTTCCTGAAAGCAGTGCTTTACCAAACGCAGCACCCTTCTAGAAACCCCTTCTGCTTTGTGGTCAGCAGATCGCACTGGCCAAGGGGGAGAGAAAGGTCAAATACTGGAAATTCTGCTAGTCTTTGGGGGGAAATGTTATAGGAAAGTGGTTGCTATTTGTAGCTAGCTGATAGCATACTAAAAACCTCTGATGTGGGTTATAAGTTGTATGAGAGACAAACTCAGAAACTACAGCAGTGTGAACAGTGTTGGTATTCTAGGCAATACACGGAAGAGAGAAGTTTAACTTAAGCTTTAGGTGAAAATTCACAAAACTCTGAATAGCACACTCTGGGCATTATCTATTTTTAACAGGTTGCTCTATTATCTATGAGGAGCCAAGAGCAAACCCAGGAGATTCATGCCAGGATAATGACATAGAAGATAACAAACCATGATGCTGTGGATTGTTCAGAGACTTGATTTATTTACCTTGTTTCTCCACATCCTTCAGAGGGTCGACCCCTGGGGACAGGATAAAGAACATTGGGGTTGCGGGTCCTGACTCCTCAAATGATGTTGCAAAATCCAGAGATCTTCCTACCACATATTTACTTCCCAGCTTTTCTTCAACAAAATCTCTGCCAGAAAAACATTGCAAGACTGTTAATATTCAGAAAAGCCAGAAATATCCAGGGCAGACAGTATATTCCTAAGCTGATGCACAATCTATTAAGTGTATTTATTGTATCTTGCAAAGTCAGAGAAATAAAAAACCTCATGATAAACTGGATGCAAAATACAGAATCCTAATCAGGACTTGTAGCTTACCATTAGGAATTGCTATTTCAGTAGAAGTGTCCCTGCCCATGATATATATTTTTGAAGCCCCTGTGTGACATATACAAACAAACAGAATGAGAGAAAAGAAGAAAGAACCAGCCATGGCAGGGGTGTTGTGGTGAGAAGGGATATGCTGGGAGGTTCTGGTGACTGCCTGGATCACAAACCTCTTTGAGACTGGATGTGAACACACCATCAATTAACTGTCAGGATTAGTTAATCAGAAGCCTCCCACTTCTATTAGTCTATTAGATCCTGGTTATAGAAGAAACTGCATCTTATTAGTTCATGCCCCTTGTCAGGATACAGTTACCATTTCTGACATATGAGGCTAATTTTAGCAGGAAACACCCAGGAAAAGTGCTTGAAAGGAACATGATCACGTAGCACCTAAGCCATTTAAATGGGGTCATTCCTTGTCTCAATGTTGCCTGCAGTAGTTACCTAGGGAATGGGGTGGGAGAATTGAACTTAGCCTGTCTAGCAGTGGTGTTCTCCACTCCTGGTAGGAATTCCCCACGTTCAGAGTTCTAAAGCCATTGGTTTCATCAGAGTCCATCTCTTCCCTGCCTTGTAATGGAAGGCAGGGTCCTCCCACTATCCCAGCTGCCTTGCCAAGTCAGTAGTGAAATTGCTCCCATATGTGCAAATAAAACTGGATAATAAAATAAAGAGGGAAGAGAAGATACAGAAATCTGGACTCTGTGGGGAGGAAGGCAAGTAGTGAGCTGTTATGATGTTTAATTTCAGACAACAGTTACAATAATCTTCCTGTTTCTTTTCTGAAGACGTGTCATAGAGATTCCCACTCTTGAAGGCTAAAAGCTCCTCTAAAATACTTACAGTGGACAACAAAGAACAAATAAAGAGAGGCCTTTTTTTTTTAAATGGAGATATCCTATCTCCTAGAACTGACCTTGGAAGGTCATCGAGTCCAGCCCCCTGCCTTCACTAGCAGGCCCCCCTCAAGGATTGAACTCACAACCCTGGGTTTAGCAGGCCAATGCTCAAACCACTGAGCTATCCCTCCCATCACTAAGCTATTCTTTTACCTTACTGTACAAGTTCTTTGAGATGCCTTTGTCCACACGGATCTCACCATAGGTCTGTGGCTCTGTATGTGTGAGCCTGGGATCTGCTGGTGATGCACTTGTGCCCTGTATACCATCATGCCCCCTACCGCGAGGATATAAAGAATGGAATAGCCCCAACACCACTTAGTTTCTTCATTAATACAGAATATCCAGCTAAGGACTCCATATCAGTAAGCTAGGAGGATGGGCTGTAGGATCTGTGTGGACACAAGCATCTTGAAGAATTCCAGTTACTATAAGGTAAGTAATCTTTGCTTCTTCGAGCATTTGTTCACATGGCTCCCACTATAGGTGGGAGACTAGCAGTTACCCCTCAAGGAGATGGGTGATTGGAGTTCAATCTCAATAATGACTATAGAATCAGCCCTGCCACACTGGGCATCTGATCTAGAAGCTGCCAGAAGGGAGTAGCAGTCAGTAAACGTATGAAGAGAAACCCAAGTAGCTGCCCCACAAGTCTCAGAAATAGGGACTTCCCGGAAACAAGTTACAGCTGTTGACTGAGACCGAATAGAGTGTGCCCTAACTCAGGAGGGAATACGTAGTTTATTTAATGGAGTGGGAAAGCTTAATGCAGTTTGTAACCCACTTAGAGAGTCTTTCAGAGAAACAGCTTGCCCTTTAGACTTATCACCAAAAGCCATAAAGAGTCTGGATGATTTACGAAATCACTTTGTTCTAGAAAGATAAAAGGACAGTTCTAAGAAAATCTAGTGTGTGGAGTTTAACCTCTGCAGAGAGGTTTAGGGAAAAACACTGCTAAGTATATAAATATTCGAAACCATTTTTGGTAAAAATGCTGGATGTGTCCTGAGAGTAACCCTGTCTTTATGAAACACAGTGCATGGATGGCTTGCCTTCAAAGCCTGAAATTTGCTCATTGTGTGAGCTGAGGTGATGGCTGTTTTAACAGAGCAGTGATATAATGAAGGTAATGACATGGGTTCAAAGGGAGGGCCCATCAAAGACAGGACCACCGCATTCAAGTCCCAGGTAGGGAATGTAACATAAGTTCAGCTGTCACAGGGTGACTCACTCCTTTAAGAGGAGATGGAGCCACCCTCACCTGTGGCTTAATTAGCTATTTCCCAGCCTGAGGGGGCAGGAACAAGGGAGGGTCAGGTGAGAGATTAATGGACCCCCAGGCCTCATAAAAGGGCCAAGAGAGATCAGTCTGGGGTGTGGAACCACAAGGAGTGGGCAGGCCCTATGGAAGGTCTGAGTCAGGGTCAGCAGGAAGCCAGGCACTCCACAGAAACCAGCCTGGGACCCAGTGCTCTATACCAGAAAGGAAGGCAGAGGAACTTCTTCGTTTGTTGGGACCCTTTAGTTCGACTTTTGCAACATCGAAAGGGGTTAAGTTTGTGAGTTGGCTGGAGGGCTAAGCCACATCTCTAGCCCTGTTTGTGGAGTTACTGGGGCCTCTGAAAGAAGGAAACAGCAAGAACGTATCTGTGGCTCCACACTTGGCCAGCAGGGATTGTTGCGGGGCAGGCATGTCCTACAACACCAGCCCATTAAAAATCCTTTTAATGTGGGATGGGGGAAAAAAAAAAATCAAATGACCTTCAACAGATGACATCTGATGGAGTCCTCTCCTGATTAGCTCTAAGGATGACAAGTAGTCCAGGATAGCTGGAACTGAACAGCCAAAAGGCTGAATGTGTTTCTGAATAGATCACATCAAGAAACTCTTCCACGTAGCTTGATATATTCTAGTAGAGAGGCTTATCTGCTCTGGATCAAAACCTCATGTACAGCCGCTGGACATCTTCTGTCCACGCAGCTTAGTCAGCCAGCCTCCATAGGGTCACATACAGAGTTGCCAGGACTAGGTGCCACAGTAGAACTTGGCTCTGCAAAATGATTTCTGGTAGGTTCGTAAGTGGAAGAGGTGGTCTGATGGACAGGTGCATCACGTTGCAGTACCAGAACTGGTGCGCCCATGCTGGAACTATCATCATCCCCTGGGCTTATCCTGCTGTATCTTTCTGAGAACATTGGGAATTAGCAGAATGGGAGGAAAGGCATAAAGCAGGTTCTCTTCACACCAAATCAGAAATGCATCTGCCATAGACTCTCAGCTTACTCTTTCTTAGGAGCAGAACACTGGATACTTCATGTTCCCATCGCTAGCAAACAGGTCTATCGAGGGGACTCTCCATTTTAGGAATACCTGATCTAGAACTGAACCTTTAAGATACAAGGCATGAGTGATGGAACTCTTTCTGCGTAGTCGATCTACAAATCAGTCTGGATACTTGGAAGATGGAGAACTACTAGGCTGATCTGATGTAGGATGCACCAGTCCCAAAGTATCCTGCTTCCTGATATAAGAGGGATGATCTCACTCTCCCCTACTTTTTTCTATAGTGCATAGCTGTTGCACTGACCATCAGAATTTGAGTCGTGGTGCCATGAAGGAGAGGCAGAAAGGTCTTGCAAGCTAGATACATGTACTAGAGTTCAGGGCCATTCATGTATAACAGAGACCCTGCTCAGGACCACGTGCCCAGTATCTGGAGACAGTCCAAATGTGCACCTCAGCTCAACATGAACGTATCCACCACCAGAGTCTTTGATGGGATAGGTAATGTTTTGAGGGTCTGTCCACCAAAGCAGAAATGTCTTCACTTTCAGAGGAACTTCGACAGGTACATCCTTAGTGTGTTTGATTTGCTGATAAAATTATCTTAACCAGCCTGTAAGAGGGTGGAGGCATAACTGTGCCTATGGAGTCACATAAGTACAAAGCCTCCACACATGACCACTTAGCCCCAGGAGTAGCATCTCTTGTTGCCACAGCGCCGACTGAAACTGGTTTAAAAGCTGGAGCAGACTGCTGCCAAGGAGGAGGAATCAGAGACACCTCTCATTGGCCTCCTCATAAAAAATATTTTCAGTCAGACATCATAGGCCTTTTACTTTCCACTGTAGCATTTGACTTTGTTTCTCCCAAAGGGAGACAAGCAGAGGGAAGATGACATAGATAGGTGTGTTTTTCTAATCCCTTAATCGTTCTTGTGACTCTTGAATTGTGGACAGCAGTGGTCACACCAGTGTCACATACACAGGTAAAATAACCTGTCTACTCCTACTCAAGATGCCCCTGTTTGGAATTCCAGGATAACATTAGCTCTTGGGGTCACAGCATCACACTGGGAGCTCATGTTCAGCTGATTATCCACCATGACCTCAAATCGTTTTCAGAGTCACTGCTTCCCAGGATAGAGTCTCCCATCTTGTAAGTACGGCTACATCCTTTGGTCCTACATGTACACATTTATAATTAGCAATATTAAAACCTATGTTGTTTGCTGTAGCCTAGCTTATCAAGCAATCCAGATTGCTCTGTATCAGTGACCTTTCATCTTCATTATTTACAACTCTCCCAACTTCTGTTCATCTGCAAACATTATCGGTTATGATTTTATGTTCTTTTCCAAGTCCTTGATAAAAATGTTAAATGGAGTAGGGCCAACTGTGCAAGGACCCTGCTAGAAACACACCTGCACAGTAATGATTCCCAGTTTAAAATTACATTGTGAGACCTGATAGTTAGCCCGTTTTTAATCCATTTAATATCTCCAATATTAATGTTATATTGTTCTAGTTTTTTAGTCAAATGTCTTATAGAAGTCTAAGTATATTGCATCAACACTATTACCTTTATCAACCAAACTTGTAGTCTCAAAGAAAGATATCAAGTTATCATATAACTGCTTTAAAATGGGGTGAGCTATGAGGTGAGGGTCTGTAAATTCTTACCTGACTTAGCTAGACTAATGGGGAAATATAGGGCCCTAGACGGAGAGCATTTTACAGATCCAGGGAATGGATATTTTACATGCCCAATCCCTGCACCACTTTAAATACAGGCTACAGATTTCTGTTTCACTAGCAACTGAGGGGACCAGCAGCTCTTAGCCCAAGGGCTAGAATGCCACTAGCTGGGGAGATCCCCAGACTGTGTGTTTGCTGACAAGTTTCTGAAGTGTTTGAAAGGACTGAAGAATCCAGGTGACACACATGACATATTCTGACCATACTACAAAGACTGAGAAATCATCTCTGAGAGAAGATCATAGGGGAATGTGCTTTGATGTGTGTTAAAGTACAGAAGTATAGATGCTGGAACTTTATATGTGAATATATGTAACAGCAGGGAAACACTGTATGAGGAACATGAGTAGATTTACTGTCTAATAACTTTTGTTTAAAAGTTATTCATAGTATTACAAATACTATTTACCATATTTTAAATTATTTATATGATTTTTCCTTTGCATTAAAGGTTTGATTTACTCAGAAAGTGTACAGTACAGCTCTCTTTGAAGTTGACTGGGAACAATTAACACATACTTCTCGAGGTGTTACGCAATAGCCCTGAAGTTTAACTCTGTACGGACAAGGAGGGCGTGCCGGGCGCAGGTGCAGCCCCAGTAGGCACAGCTGGCAAAAAGATTCCAGACGCACGCACACATACCAAGAGTCAGATCCGGGTGGACAAATGCTTGAACAGAAGAACAGGCAGTTGGATGCACAGACAAATAACACAAATACCCCCAGTAAGTAGTCATTATGGATGTAATGGGAAGCACGAAACTGCCCATTTGCTGTGGAATACATATAATCCCCACTCAAACATTCTGCAATCTTTTCAGCAAACACACATGTGAAGAGAAATACATGAGAAGTGTAGGTCTGAGTGGATGATCTAGATGGTGTAGGAATGCAGATGTGAGAGCCAGGTGAGGACTGGATCCTTTCTGGAGCAGTTAGGTAGCTCTTGGGTGCTCTCATACTGAGCATGCAGAGTGTTTACCTTGAGGAGAGAGGAACGGCTTCTCTAGAAAAACATGGCTGACTTCCATGAGAGTAGGGTGTCTCAGCCTCTGGAGGTCAGGCAACTTCTACCTAGCTACCTAAGTGTGGATTCAGGAGCCTAATTTTGGGTATCCAGGTTGGAAAATGTTGGGCATTAGCAGTACACTGGCTTCATGTTCATTTTGTATGTAATGTCCTTGGTTATTTTAGGCAGCCCTACAGTCAAGCATCTATAATATGGAAGTCTTTAGTGAAGGCATCATGAATTATCCTTATTGTGCATGGCCAATGCTCTAAAACAGCTCCATGATAAGTATAACATGTTCTAATGCATTTACATTAACATGTCAATTTTACATGCCCAGAACTGTACAAATACTCAACTGATTTCTTCCACCTTGGATTCTTTTTCCTTATCATCAAGGAGTACTGTCACCAGAAGCTAAACTTCATATTTCTAGGTTCAGCCATTTTTGAGTAATGTGAGTACAAATATTTCAGTTGGAATGAACAGGGGAAGACTAGTAAAATGTAATACCTATTCACATAAACTCGGAAACGGTTTAGCTGATGTTAAACTTTCAAGAAAAAAAAGTTACATTTGGGATGAGACAAGGCAGGAAAATCCAGCCCAAAAGGAGTTTGAGAACGTTGTGAGCAATGGTGAGAAAAGGGTGGGTTAGAATTCTACTGTGGTTTCTCCCAAAGGTCTCAGTCAGGATCTTGGAGTACAAGCACAGACAGAGATCTAGCTCCTGCATGGAGCAAGTTACGTGGACCTCAACCTATATATACACATATATAGGATTGTGTAGCTGTATAAAGCTATTCAACAAGCTTTTCAGTGGAAGACTAATGTCTTACAGAAATGCCAGAAGTTGGAAGACAAGGACAATATACATGGAACAAGTCCTGATGAGTGAAAGACTTTTAGTTTTTCCTGGAACATCTGTTCTGTGTTGTCTGCCTAAAGTTTGCCTATTTGCCTTCACTACATAGTTTATAACTACAACTTTTAGAACCAGCATGACATATGTGTTATTTTTTCCACCATTAACCCAATCTATAATCCATCTCTTTACTTCAGCATCTAAGGAATAACAGCTATAAACAATTTAGTAACTATTATCAATTATAATGAATTATACAGTTTGATTCTGCTAGAGTTATTTATTCTTAACCATTACAGACAGGGACTGATGTGTAAAACCAGAGCATGCTAGGATGAAAGGGACAATTGCTGTGGAAGTCACAACCTGTTCTTGTTTCTCTTCTTGAATCTACAGTTTGTGAAGCAAAACTTGAGTAATTATGGTAGATAGTATCCCACAGCCATTCATAGTAACTGTAGTGAGTCTGCTGCTTATTCAAAGCAATAAGACAAATCCATTAATAAGAAAATAGGCGAGTTTTCGGTTTGATTTTATTTTGTAAACAGCAAGGCACTGACACAAACAATAATAATTGTGAAGTATTCTGCTGCAGCTGTGCTTTATTTTTCATGTATAATAAAGCAGAGGTATTATAATGAAATCATGTCTGTTCAACAAGAGGTTCCATACAGCTCAATCTGTTCATCTCAGATTCTGTGGGTGTTTTTTTCATTCATTGCTGGAGAATTTATTGTGAAGTGGAAAAGCTTCTCTAAAGATTTAGGAATAAAGGACCATTTATGCACAAAAAGCTGCACAATTCCTGTTTGATATCACCCAATTTTTGACCATATATGTCTGCTCTTCACACAGTTTTATTTAAGCTGCTATTTACATATGATTAGGTTCCCTGGCAGTCATCCTGACGAAATGGGTTTCCTGATTAAGAGGGTCCTGATTAAGTGGAGTGGGTGCATTGCACTGCAGTTAGAGATGATTCATTTAGGGCCATTAACAAGAATCTTTTAGAAGAAGATTGTGTGAGATTCATATATTAAGGTTAAATAAATGTGAACACATTTTCTGAACCAGCTCTGCTTTCTTGAGCACACCGTTAAATAGTCTCCCCACCCCCCACCCCCAAATGAGCGCATTACAGGGATGGCCACTGGGTACCCTTACCGGACAGCATAAGTCATGCGATCAGGCCGGATGGCTCTCAACATGCACAGACGCTGCAGAGCTGACTTGCTCTTCCATTCCTGAGGGAACTTCTCCTTTTCAGGGCATTCAGATTCTACAAATTTTTTCCAGCGTTTGGCAGATCCCTCGATATCCCGATCCAGGTTCCGGAATTCCTCCATAGATGACAGGCTCTGGAAAAGTTCAGTGAACTCCATTTAGGACAGAAATACTACGTGCCCCTGGGAAGCATTTCTGACAGCTACTAGCTGCTACAGTTTTGCTATGTTGGAATGGTTAAAGCAGAAGCCAAGGAGCCAGGCTCCTGTGTTCTATTCCCAGTTGGCTCACTTCCTTGTTGTCAGTCATCTAGCCTCTCTATGGCTCAGTCAAGCCATCTGTACCAGGTGAAGAATACAGTACTATATCTCAGAGGTGTGTTGTGAGGCTTACTGAATTAGGCCCGGATTCAGGAAGGCATCCTACTCATGACAGCACTTGAGCATGTACTTAACTTTAAGGGCAATGGGACTTAAACCCATAGTTAAGCATTGTCCTGAATCAGGACCCTAATTAATACGTATAAAGTGCATGAGATGAGATCCTTAGAATCATAGAACCATAGGGTCATGTAGGATGAAATTAACTCTGTAAATGCAAAGTATATTATATATCAGCCCAAAACAAAATCTGGACACCCCTGAACTATGGGGAAGTTCAGAATAAGAACTGTATTGCTCAGAGCCACTGCTAATTACTATGGGATACATCCTGAGAGATGCTGAGCAGCTACAACTCCCATTTACTTCACGGGTAATATAATTTGTCATCCCAGGCCACGTGAAATATGCACCAAAACAATAAATCAGCAAGTGGATCTTCACATACACCACTAGAAATGGTACTTGATGTTTTGGCAAGTATGATTCCCTGCCGGATACCCAGGATTCTTGAGGTCATTGCAAATACCAAATCACAACCTTTGGCTATGCACAATCAGCTGTGTGAGTCTCTAGAAAGCAGGGTCTACTAGATCCCTTGTTGCCCATACAGGGTTTGAGGGTAAAAATGGGAGCATGGCCCGAACTACCCTTCAGCTCCTTCCATAAAAAGCTTTAATCAGACTCCCAAGATGGGTGAGGAGAGTGGGTCCAGAGGGACAATCTTTTTAAAGAAGCATAGGGAGGAGGGTAAGGAACCATTTTTCTCCTGTGAGAACTGTCCCATGGATTCCCACTCTGGACATTAACAAGTGGCAGTAAGTACCACTCACTCCATTTTCCTCCCCACTCCATCCGTCAGTCCCCCTCTTTCCCACCACATCCACCCATCTGGGTTGTGACCTTCTCCCAAGCACCAGACACATCAAACATGTGTCTATAACAGACATCACAGTGTCACATTATGCACAGGACTCCATGTCAACTTTCTTAGCCACCTCAGCCTGTGTGATCCAAGGCCCCGAGGCGAGGAGAACATTCTCAGTGGGGAAATCATCCTGGCAGACTGACAGCAGGAGACAGGGAAGCAGCCCCAGAGAGCTGAGCCCAGACCATGTCCGCAGTGGTGCAGGCCCTGACAAACACTGCTCTGTAAAGAGCAACCAAAGGGGGAGAAGCAGCGGAGCATTGAGGGCTGGGGGTGAGTTCCCAGCCCACTGCCAGACAGAACTGAGAGGCAGTTGGGACCACTCCTGCTTTTTGCCCCTGGAAACCCTCTCCCTGGGAGGCGCAGGGGAGTGGGGGGTGGGGAAGGAAGAGGACTATTGTGTTCCAGAACATTCTGAGCTGATGGCCGGCACATTATCCCAGCTGGGGAGAGTGAATATCTTCCCACATCAGCATGCACAGCGGAGTACAGAATTTGGCCCAGGTGGTTACTTTATACACAGTTCAGATTCAGACCCATGCCTGGATTTGCTGCAGTCAGAAAGCGACACCTGTCCTCTAACTCTGCATACGATCTCAGATCTGCTACATGCACCTCCTCTCGAGTGATCCTGAGCTTGACTGCCTTTACAGGCTGCTTCACGGGGTACTAACTGGAAACCAAACTGCACCTCACTCCTCAGCCTTGCCTTTGGTGTCCTTGCCTGCACTGTATCGAGAGACACTGGGGAACTGATGCCCTCACCCACCGGAGGGGGTTAATGACTCTCCCTATCCTCAGCCAATATAGAAGTGATGTCCATGGATTGCATCTAGGCCTCCGTGGCTAAAATATGATCACTGCAATAGAGAGTCTGTAAGGAAAGGTGTAAGCCAGCAGAGAAAAAGATTAGGCATATCTACAGAGTATCTGCCCCAAATAAATAGTTAAAATAAATCTGCATTCACATTTCCAAGCAGAGGGTCTCTAAAGTGCCAGGCAAGAGACACTTCTTCCTGGGCACGCTGCTGTCAGCGACAGTGACACAAATGGCTAGGACTGGAATTTCTAGGCCCGTGTCAAGCCAAAAGGATGGGGACTCAGATACACTCAATGAAGCCACACCAGGTGCGTAAGTATAACTGGTTTTATTGCCAAAGTATAATAAGCTTCGCAGCCTTCACGCATTACTAAATACGTGCTTTCCAGCAACTAAGCAAGCATCAATGCTTATGCCTCTTCTGCTACGGACAGTCCCGGACCCTCCAGCCTTGTCCTTGAGGGCTCGTAGCAGGCGCTGCTCCAGCGTGGGGAATTCCTGGGCACCCACAAGGCCAGGGTCCGCAGGTGAGACTGTTCATCTAAAGCAATTCTCATAGCTGCTTTTATCATCATCTCTTTCTAAGGGGGGGGGGGCATATTCACCCACAAGGAGGCTCTGGCAGGAAACACTACTGCTCTCTATTCCCACACTCAACATTCTCCGGCCTTCCATATCTCTTTTCTTGTTAATCCAGTCGAGTGGCTGTGAGCCAGCCCTGCCGGTCAAAGCCAGTTCACTACTAGCCCCGCCCCCCCAACCATTCTGTAACAACAGTCCAAGATAACTTGCGGTCAGCCCCACCAGCCCAGTACTGGCAGGAGGTGCTGAGGGTGAGATCTCTGCAGAGAGTGAATGTGGAAGCAATTCCCTTGTAGCATTAAAAATCACAAAAAGAAATGGGAAATGGAAATGTTAACACTGTGATGAGCATCAGAAGGGAAATCTGATTAGCTCCAGCACTGAGAAATTCAATGGCTGCAGCCAGCCACAGACTCAATAACACCATCTTCATCAACATGTGCAATTTCAAATATATTTGACAGCTGAAATCTGTCTCTTTCTACCCCCACACACCCTTGCTATCTCTCCCCACATACACACACTCTCTCTCTGCCTGTCCAGCTTCCCATGTTGTTGCTCATCACCATCGCATCTGAGTGCTTCCAACAGCCATAAAACATTACTCTTCCCAGAAGGTAGAAGGAGCTAAAGAATAGTGCTGATGAGCACACACACAGGCACCACTCCCCAGGCTGTGAAATGCAGCCATTCTGCACCAACATACCATGACAACATTGAAGAGGGGAAGTGGAGAATAACTTTAAGCCGCTGAGGCAATGGAGAGGAGAGAATGTATTAACCAAGTTGGGATGTGGCCAGGAAGAGACCAGGGCTATTGCTCCTTCTCTTGCAAAGGCGCCAGAGCATTGTTAACGGTTGCAAGTATGAAGGCCCTGAATTTGTGTCTCACCCAAAAGGTGGCCCCTAGAGCAGCACACGGCCACTAGCAGCGCAATGAAGCACCTAGGGTGACCAGACAGCAAATGTGAAAAATCAAGATGGGGGTGGGGGGTAATAGGAGCCTATATAAGAAAAAGACCCAAAAATCAGACTGTCCCTATAAAATCGGGACATCTGGTCACCCTAGAAGCACCGCATCAGTGTTATCTCAGAGAGAAGAATTCCACCCACTGAACCACCAGCACAACTTGCTGTATTGCTTTTGTTTTCATCAGAAGTCTCACATTCGAGTCGTGAATGGGTCCAAACCCTGATGGGGTGAGGCTCTAGGTCTGTGAATTTCACATATTCAAAATAAAATCCTCCCCTGCCCTTGCTGTAGCAAATACAAGGGCCATGCTAACCTTTTCCTTTGAGACAGAATTACCATTTTCCATCACAATTCAATTTGGTTTATATTTACATTGTGTCCTTTATCTGCAGTATCGCAGAGAGTCGATCTGAGGGCAGAGAGAAAGGGAGAGCTCTACAGAGAGATGAGGATGTGAGAGTGGCTCAAAGGGATGAGGAGAAGCTCCAGGCAGATGGGGGCAGCAACACACAGTACTCACTGGGCTGCTGCCTCTAGGGAATGGGTTGAATGTTTTATGCACAAGAACAACTTCAAAGGTTTGGTGTCATTGTTACTCTAGAGAACTTATCTTCCAGTGCCAGATACACAAAGGCCTACAGTAGTGTATTTATTGGAGAGAATACCTATTCTTGTCACTGAATGCAGTCATTTTTAAGGACACTATCAGGTCAAATCTGCCCCAAAATGTAAGTGTTGCTAAAATGAGATTTTACAAAACCTAAGACAAGTAGAAATAGGTCCATGGATTTTTTTCCTCTTTAGTTTTAATGGAAATAGTTTTAAAAAACAAACCAAATAACCCTCCCCCTGTATACTTTCAACCCAGACACTGCAGCATTGTTCTGTTGCGTCAGAATCTGAAAGTGAAAGTGACAAGTCTATTTTCTATGTCCCACCCTGAGGTTAATAATATAAACAAGTAAAATAGCATCAATAGCAAACAGTTTGCCATCCCCAAGTGTTTAAAAGTCATGAATTGGGCCCCCCAAAATCCTGAGACGGTTTAAAAATGAGGTTTTTTTTTTAAATAAAAAAATAAAATGGGGGCTCTTCTTATATGCCTTCTGCTTTTTGAGCCCTTTGGGTTCACTTGGTTTCAAGTTTTCAAGCTTTTCTCCCTAACCTTGAGCACTTCCTTTGGGAAAAAAAGAAAGAGAAAGCCCAGAGTGTCACCTAATCCCAGGCTTCCGCGGCTTTAAGAAACACCCCAAATGCCACTAGACTCATGACAGAATAAGCAACACTATGAAAGCAAGGGAGATTTTAAACACTCTAGCAGTTTGAACAATCTAGGGTATTATTTGTGAGATGTGCTTTTATAAAGTATACTGTTTTTAACATCAGATTGCTCCTGTAGTGTCACTATTTTATATTGAGCACCTTTGAACAGTTTTTCGGAGTAACTGTAA